CTTGGGAAGTTTCCTGCCATCACTTCTCTGAACAGTTTTTTTATGTCATCTGCACTCTCTCCTGTTTCTTCATTGACTCCGATCACTCTTATCTTATTCTTCTTTGCATCATCTAGCAGCTGCTGGATTGATTTCTCATGGTCCCTTACTATTTTATAGAAATTTTTCTTTTCTTGATCACCAATTGCAATCTTATCTTCTATGTCTGAAATTCTGTCCTCACATTGGCTCATTCTGTTGTGTAAGCTTTCAATGGAGTTTTTCATCTCCTGGAAATCTGTTTGCATCTGTTTTATGGATTCCATTTGTTTTCTATGTTGGGATTCCATCATGTTCCCCAGTTCCTCTATTATTTTTATCTGTGTCCTCTCTAGAGTTTTTAATCATGTCTTGCACTATGGGCACAATCTCTGCTGTTATGTGAGAAATCATTTCTGATTTTATTTTTTCCAGATCCTTCTTTGTTGCCAGTTCAGGGAGTCCAGATGGTTGCATATCAGAGTGTTCCATCTTGTTTCCCTTTGGGGTTGCTTTTGGTGATCTAGAAGTCTGGTTTTCAGACTTGTTTATGTGTCTTTGCATTTTGATGGGGTGGGGTGTTGCTGGTGCCCACATGGCTCACCTCCTGTGTACTGAGGGGGGTGGTACGGTGGCCCAGAAGCCTGCTCCTGGGTGCTGGGAGTGGCTCACTTTCTGTGCACTGGAGTGAAGTGGTTTGATGGCCCAGAAGCCTCCTCCTGGGCACTGAGGAGGGTGGTACAGTGGCCTGGATGCCTCCTCCTGGGCACATCAATGAATGATTATAAAAGTAAGACCATTAGAATTACAGTAGACTTCTCAGCATAAACTTTGAAGGCCAGGAAACCTTGGAGTGAAGTGTTTGAAAACTTAAAAGAAATGATCAAAATTGATGAAGAAATAAGATATTTCCATGTTAAAGGGACTTAAAGAAATACATAACTGCCAAATTAGCACTCCAAAAAATTATCAAGGATATCCTAGAGAGAGACAATGAAGGAAACTGACAAAATGTCTGATAGAATGAGTATGCCAAGTAGGGTGAGCAGTTAGGTAGAGGGAAAGAAAGAATCAGCAAGAAGAAAATAAGGCAATTATAGGAGTAAGTCAATATACATCAGCAGTAACTATCAAAGTGAATGGTCTGTATACAAGAAAAATATTTACTAATTTTTTTCTTTAAAGAAAGTCATAGATTAAACATCAAAAATGGAAAACAATATTCCATGGAGCAAGA